CTTTTCTGCCGACCATCTTAGTGTTTGATCTAGAGATATGGACATTATTTAGCTGAATGTTATAACTGCTCATTACATATTCCAGTCCATCATAATTTCTGCTATAATTAAACCTCTCTCCAATTTTAGATTATGTTTATGTCTTTCACAAATCTGATTACTTATTTTATATTAGTTTACATAGGTTTTAGATCAATGTATTGTTTTATTTAACTTTTATAATTCTTAATAACTGTTATTTACCTTAATGCTAAGTTAAAAACATATATGTGAGTTGATCCTTATTGGTAGATGGCCAAAATTCCAAAATAATATTTGTTCAGTTAATTTGAAAACTTCTGTTGTTTGCCACTTATATTTGAATTTTTGTGGCAAGAGTTTACGTCAAGAGTGGTTGTTTGCCCACCATATTCAAATAAAAATGTACAGTCTTGATTCAATATGAATTTTATATTAATAATAATAAAAAATCCATCATACAAATTTTAAGTTAAATTAAATATATATCAATCAATTCATAACACATACAGAATTGCTAAAAGATAAAAACATATTAACCACAAATTACTCTAGTCATAGTAACATATAATCATGCTAAACTTACTGGTATAATTATGCATATTATCAAGTAGCTTCAGGGATTACCCAGGTCTGAATTTATAAAAAGTACTTAAAACTTAGCGAATACATGATGTAATATTAAAAAATAAATAACTTAATTACAAAATGAATTTAGCAATATCATTTTGAACTTGTATATGTTATATATGTGCTTTATTTTTTCTGACTAAAATTTAGAAATAATATATAAAAATATGAATCAACTTTCTTTTCTTTTCTTTTTNTGCTGCTTGTGCCTAAAAAAAACTGAATCAAATGCTGCATTTAGGAAGACGATGAGGCAGGTGTTTTCGTAATTTAAACTTAGAATTGCAGATTTCACCGAACGACGTCCCGATTAACAGAATTTGGATAATCCCTCCGCCGAATTATGGTCAATTCTGTAATGTATCTAAAAATAAAGTTTAATTAATCAAAGACGAAGCCGAAAATTCCACATGTCCAATTTTCTAGTGAAGTTTTGATATCATCTGCACCGAATTCTTAAGACCATGTCCTTAATCCTCGCTCATACTATAAATTAATGTCAACTGATAAATCTCGGCGTGCTATAGATTAAAAAAGAATGACAGATATTAAATTATCTGTACAGAAATCGCAACCGAGTAATTTCTGGCTCCATAGGCCTATCCTATTTTACAATCTATCATGCGGCCTTAGTAACTGAGGGAAAAACAATCATTAATATGATCAGATTTTCCTTTTATATACTTTAGTATTTTCCTGAGATTTTTTTATTCTTTTATTAATTTCTTTCGGTAGTTTTTAATAAAGAAATTATTCTTTATTCGTCGAAAATTTACCCACGTTTCCGGCTTTTGTCTGAAGTCAATGCCCGAATCTCAACACCACAATCGATCAATATCCAGAAAACGGCATAACGAATGGATCCTGTATCCGTTATTATTATTATTATTTATTATTATAATTATTTTTTTAAGTTTAAATTTCTAAATTTCAAAGTCAAAACGAAACTGGAGAATCTATTTTTATAACTGGGAAGCGAGTTCTTTAGAATTTCAATTTGAAAAATTTAATTAGGTCTAGCGCAATAAATGGCTATTGCAGTTTTAAATGCGGACGTTTCGTGTTCGGAATGTAACAAAACGGTTAATTCGGGGGTGTTTCCGAGAATTAAATGATCCTTAATGGTTCCGATGTAGGAAAAATATCAAAAACTGGCGTCGTGCTTGTCGCGTGGCAGTCGTCTAAATAGAAAATGGCCTGGGGACAGATTACTATCTAAAATGCCATTTTGCACGAAACTCTTTTTATTGTCACTGATCTGACAGAGGATTTGGAGACTTTCAGATGCTATCTTCATCATATTCTCTTTATTACACACTTTCTATCTTGATAAAAATGTCTGAGATAATCTACAAGAAAGGAAAACTTAGAAGATAATAAAGCATACTTTAATTTAAGACAAACAGAAATAAAAAAGATCTATATATATATATATATAGTATAAATTCCACCCGAAAATACAGTAGTTCTATATCTATTTCAAACACAATTTTTAAGTTATTTATAATTTCTCATTTAAATAACATTTGTCTCCAATTTTTCATGTTTTAAAATATGGCTTAAAATAAATATTTTCCATATTAATTAATGAAACAAGTTTATAGTTCTAGTTTTTATGGCATTTTATGTTTATTGAAATGATTATTGTTACTTTAAAACTTTCCCATAGCTATTAATATTTCTTCTAAACTAAAATACAAGCAAATTAAGATGCATGGCTTGATTCATTTTTAATATCTTTATTCAAATTCCTGACTGGGAGATATATAAAAGGGGTAATTACTAAATGCCAAAGGTATGTATTAATAGTTATCGCCGAGTTAACTGGTTAAAGACCCTTTTAAGTATTACCTAACGACTGTAACCATTTAAGTTCGACAGTCATACGCACACATCCTTGTGGCCTGGATATAGATTGCAATATTTTAACCGCAGCAATGAAAATAAGTGGGCCAAATGCAGCCAAATTTGGGGTCCATGACCTCTTGCATATTAATTTTCAATGATCCTATTAAAGCCGTCCGGCAAGTTTTCCACACGCGTATTAAACAGTTTGATTTTTTCTTCTTTCTTGTAACGCAATTAAAAAATACATATCTCTTCGTAATACGACAACAATAATTTTCTTTTTTTAATTATTCTTTGATCGTAAAAATCAGAGAATATGTCCCAGCTGTGTAATTGTCTTTGGTGAAACTAGAACATTCCCCCAAGCCAATAAGAAGTGAAAATTTTAAAACTTTGAAACTTTATTGTACGTTTTAAGTAGCAGAAACGTGGGTCACTAAAAAGAAATCTGGTGCAGCACATTTTCTAGTGCAAGAATGTAGTCTTATGTTAATTTCTGTCNTCCTTATTGGTAGATGGCCAAAATTCCAAAATAATATTTGTTCAGTTAATTTGAAAACTTCTGTTGTTTGCCACTTATATTTGAATTTTTGTGGCAAGAGTTTACGTCAAGAGTGGTTGTTTGCCCACCATATTCAAATAAAAATGTACAGTCTTGATTCTCTTGTGTGTTCTTCTCAATCTGGTTCCATAATCTAAATATATAAAATTGCTTGTCCTGACTGACTCACTCATTCACTCACTGATTCATCATCACCCAGAGCAAACCACTTAACCTAAAGAGGTGAAATTTGGTAGACAGTTAGGGTGCGTCATGGAAACGCACACTAAGAAGGGATTTTTCAAAATTCCTCTGCAGTGGGGAGAGGGAGAGCATTAAGGGTTAACCGGAAGAATGGTTTCTACTGTACTATTTTACATGCAATTTTTGTTTTTATCTGCGTTTTAGTAGGGTATGCCATGAGAATGCACACTAATAAGTGATTTTTCGAAATTCCCCCACGGGTGGGAGAGGGAGAGGATTTAATCTTCATCGAGTACTTAGGTGTATTAAATTAATAACATTTCAGACATTGTTATAAATATTTTTATCTATTTTGATTTTAAAAATCTTCGAACCGTTTTAAATTCGAATTTGTTATTGCATATTGGTTCGATTATAGAACGATTGTAAACATTCTAGAAAATTGATCAAATTGAAAATAGTTTGTTTGATTCTCGGCAATTCTCATCATTCTCAGCGGTAGGTGTTATATAACAATTACTATGGTTGTTGAAATACTGAATATAAATGGGGTTTGCTTGCAAAATCCACGCAGGCAAAGCCGCTGGTAACAGCTAGTATAAGATATAAGAATAAATGATTCATTTACTTTCATATGTGAATGGAAATACAGAAATTAAAAACATTCTAAGATGCACATTTTGCTCATTTTCACTTGTCCAAAATAGAAATACTTCTTAGAATTAATGTCATCTTACATTCCTAGTCCAAAACAATGATTAGAAGTTACTGTGAGTAGACCAAATACTATAAGCACCAATAATAGACATTTTCAGATATGCTATTCAACTGTGTTGCTTATAATCAGTGTTTCATTTAAACTCCTCTTTAGCATTTAAAGAATGTTCATTTCAAGAAGACATGATGCAGAATTAAAAGAAAAGCTATTGCTCTATCTCTAACTGCACTACCAAAATACTCAGAAACCCATTTGGCAAATTAAATTTTTTGGTTCGATCCTGAACAAGGTCAGTTAATTTGACCGAAAACATTTGATATGTTAACAAAATAGACTGCATTATAAAGGTTTCTGAGGAAAAGCTATTGTATATGTAGAAGTACTGTACATGGAATCTATTTTATGGCATTTGCATTGATTTTCTAACTTATTGTTACTTAACAAAACTTAATAAAATTGATTATTTAAAAATTTTTTCTTCATAAAAAAATCATAAAATTTGATTCAGAAGTCATGATGTCTTAGAATTGAGGAAATACAGTAATTAAAGAAATAATAATAAAGTAAATTGTATTATTATTTTTTTACACATAGTCATATTAGTGATTATTCATAGAATAACATGATTATTTAAATACATAATCATACTATTCTATATGTTTGTTCATAAGTACTCTATTTTACTATTTTTGGCTAATAAAACCAGCTAGAGACTATTAACAATTTTTTGTCATTTCTCTTTTGTTATATCTATCTTTAAAAAACCAAGACCACTTAATCAAATTTTTTTAAAGTTGGTTTTATTAGCCAAAAATAAGAATAGTCTACATCTGTTTCCATAATAATTATTCTACTCTATTTTAGTATATAGCTTAAAAAATTAGTAATGTTATATGGAAATTGTTCATGTAACTACTGGATAGTTGATTCTGTGAATTTAATTTTTTTTTTAATATATATATTATAAACAAGTTTAAAGTTATATATGCTATCTAAATCTTATCTATATTGAAAAAATTAAAGAAAAAAAATTTGACTTACTTCATCAGGAAAGTCTTTAGGATGAGGTGAAGTAAAACGAATTCTAATATTCGGATTTATGGACGATGCTTTTTCTAGCAGATCAGCAAATCGTAATCCACCAACTTTTGGTTTGTATAATGTACGAAAACCTTCAGCAAGTTTTGAAGTATTTAATGAAGTTTCAGAAATAGTAAAATTTGCTTCTGAAATATCTCTGTAACTATTTACATTTTGTCCTAATAATGTAACCTCTTTTATTCCCTAATAAAAAAAAAATTTAATAATATTAACAAAATAAAATTATTTTTAATATAATAACATTTAAACATTAAATTCAATGGAATAGTATACAAACAAAAGAAATGGGTCCCAATGGGAAGTCCTATATCAGGACTCCTATGTGAACTAGTAATAAGAAAATTGGAAAAGAACATCCTCAAAGATTTTTCCGAAAGCATGATATTATACAAACGATACGTGGATGATGTATTGATAATTTGGAAAGACAACCAACAGATTAATGATTTCCTAAATGCAATCAACAACAATGATCATGGGTTGAAACTAAAATTGGAACAGAAAAGCAAAAAAAACCTCCATTTTTTGGACATTGACATGGAATTTAAACTAGGAAGTATACGAACGACAGTATATTTGAAACCTGTACATGCTCCGTTATACATACCTTCATGGTCGAAGGACCTGTATAGATATAAACTGTCTGCATTTAAGGCACTTATAAAGAGGGCCTTCTTGTACTGCACCAATGTGCAAGACCGTGACAAGGAAATGGATAGAATACAAAAGGTAGCAAGAAGTTTAGGATACAAAACGTCCACAATCAGAGGCCTTATCAGAAGTTATGGAAAACAAAAAACTACAACAACACATAACAACACAGCTGCATTCAACAAGTTCACATACAATGAACAGACAAGAAACGTAGTGGATGAGCTAGGAAAATACAAAAATACAAGAATAATTTACAAACGAGCACCCAACATATATAGATTATTAAGGAACAATAAGGACAAAATAAGAATGGAAAAGCAAGCGGGGGTGTACACTATCCCATATGAAAGCCAACAAATAGGAGTCGATAAAGAATATGTAGGGGTGACTAGAAGAAACCTTGCAGTGTGTGTAAAAGAGCACAAATACAGTGTTAGTAAAGGACTTAATAGCACGATATTGGCAAGCATGGCACAGGCGGACGGAGCAATAGTTAAGTGGGATGAAGCGAAGATCATAAGAGCAGTGCACTCACCGTCTATAGCGATGGAAATGGAAAAAATAGAGATATACAAAAGTAAAATGAGGAACCGATGTTTAAATGAAAAGGATGCAAATACATTACCAACAGCATGGAAATATAAAATAGAAAAATGTATGGGTTTCAATAATGGGGTTTATAAGAATAACTTCTTATAAACCCCATTTCCTACTTTATGGATTATTGAAACCCATACATTTTTCTATTTTGTATTTCCATGCTGTTGGTAATGTATTTGCATCCTTTTCATTTAAACATCGGTTTAAATGAAATTATAAAATAAATTTTCATTTATTTTATAATNGGAAGTACTCATCAAAGGTTAAAAAAAGGCAGTGAACATTGAATGTCCTCTAGTAATTGATTACAAATTCATAATAATTTTTAGCATTTATATTTATTAAAAATAATAAAAAAATTATTTTAAATGTATGTTTTCATTTTTTAATGTCTTCTAAAATGTTCAAACATATCTACACTCATAAATATATATATAAAAACTCTAACTACATGATGCTTCTACTTAGACTTTTACATAGTTCTAATGATTATGTTCTACATGTCATTAGAACTAAAGTAAAGATAAAGTTCTATAGAGCTTTATCTTTAGAAGTATTCACTAAATGAGTATTTCTAACAAGAGAAAGGTCATTACAAAACAATTTTCAGAAAAATTGATTAGTTAATTTGAGGAAAGAGTTTTAAATCAAACTTTTATTTAAACTAATTTATCATTTTCAAACTATTGAATATATCAGATTACATAGTTAAAAGTTGAATAAGTTTGCAAATAAATTAAAAAGAAAATAATCTGGGTGAAGTTATATTTGAATATCTTTTGACACTAAACTAGAAACCATTGATTTATTTTCAAGTTGGCATTTAACATTTTTCATTATTATTTCAAATTTAATTATTAAACATTAAAAATTCAGAATTTATAATTTAGAGTACAAACTAATTTGTACTCTAAATTATAACTCTAATTTGAGTATAAACTAATTTGTACTCTAAATTAAACTTGTTTCTTTGTACAAACTAATTTGAGTGTTTTCTTATTTATATTTAAAAATACTTTTAAGAGTTAACCCTTTGATAAATGGTTTTACTGGTGGATTCCTCCCTCCCCTCCCAATTTCATTATATTGAAAAACTCCAATTATTCATAAAGAGACAGAGTGTGTGAAGAATTACTAGACACCATGATTAACTTCATGCTAGAAAATTCTATGCTAAATCTTGTGAAACTTACAAAAACCAGATGAAAAACATTTTTTAGATGTCCTTAGCTGTCTGTAACTTTCATGTTTGCTCATAAACATATGTGTGTACTACAATCAAACTTGAGGAACATATACAAAAGTAATGAGACTAATTTTTTTTACAACAATTTTATTTTATTTTTATACATTAATGTTATCCCCTTCAAAGTAGTTCCCTTGGGCAGCTATACATCAGCAGAGGCATTGTTGTCATTTTATGTAGTAGTGCCGGAAGGCTTCAACTGAAATCGCCTGCAGCAACATGGTTATGCTCCTTTGGATGTTAATGGCAGTACCAAGATGATGTCCTTTCAAATGGGTTTTGATTTTGAGGAATAAAACAGTCACATAGACTGAGATCAGGCAAATAGGGGGCATGGAAAACAACATAAATTTCTTTTTCTGTCAGAAACTGGCTGATGAAGATGGCCGTATGACAGGAGGAGTTGTCATGGTGGAGCATCTAAGTGTCCTCAATGTCCCATCTGACTCGAAGAACCCTTTTTCTGAGCCTTTCAAGGAGCCCTCACTTGTTCCACATTTTCCACAGTTTTTGATGTTGAATGCCTCCCTGAGCGAGGTTTGTCTTCTACTGCTTCTAGGCCCTTCAAAAAGTGCTTTGTGCCACTGAAAAACTTGTGCTCGTAATAAGAAATGTTCCCCATAGGTTTGTTGCAACTTTTCATAGGTCAAACTCACAGGTTCACCAAGTGTAACACAAAATTTGATGCACACTGTTGCTCCAAATTTCACTATTTCATTTTCCGTAACTCAATACGAAAACAATATTTCACTTATCATGCTCTCTAGGATCACGTAATTACTGCACAAGGTTGAAACTGTTACTAAGCATCTAGGAGGGACTGACATACAAGCTACGCAAAAGGGAAGTTTGCAGTATTGCTAGATCACTCTCAGTGATGTCAATCTCATTACTTTTCTGCCACACCTTGTATATATGTGCTTACTCTGTAGAGCCCAACATATCATGTATATTTATGGAAGTACTCATCAAAGGTTAAAAAAAGGCAGTGAACATTGAATGTCCTCTAGTAATTGATTACAAATTCATAATAATTTTTAGCATTTATATTTATTAAAAATAATAAAAAAATTATTTTAAATGTATGTTTTCATTTTTTAATGTCTTCTAAAATGTTCAAACATATCTACACTCATAAATATATATATAAAAACTCTAACTACATGATGCTTCTACTTAGACTTTTACATAGTTCTAATGATTATGTTCTACATGTCATTAGAACTAAAGTAAAGATAAAGTTCTATAGAGCTTTATCTTTAGAAGTATTCACTAAATGAGTATTTCTAACAAGAGAAAGGTCATTACAAAACAATTTTCAGAAAAATTGATTAGTTAATTTGAGGAAAGAGTTTTAAATCAAACTTTTATTTAAACTAATTTATCATTTTCAAACTATTGAATATATCAGATTACATAGTTAAAAGTTGAATAAGTTTGCAAATAAATTAAAAAGAAAATAATCTGGGTGAAGTTATATTTGAATATCTTTTGACACTAAACTAGAAACCATTGATTTATTTTCAAGTTGGCATTTAACATTTTTCATTATTATTTCAAATTTAATTATTATTAAATTTTTAACACACCTTTAATTGCCATATATCATCAGGCTATAATTTCATAATAATAATTATAAATTACTAAAGAATTTACGGCAATGATATATGGCAATTGAAGGTGTGTTATTGCAATGTATCAGGTGTAGTTATGATGTTTATATTTATATTAAATTTTTACTAATTACAATTAAAATATGGAATAGAATAGTTTTATAGTCTAAATCTATAACATAATTAATGAATTATGTAATTGAATGATATTTGAGATTTAATATGATAAAAATATTTATGTTTTCTATACATTTAAAAATGATTAATACAGTTTTAATAAATTCTTTTATTAGAGTTTTGGTTAAAAAAATATTAAACAAAATAATAAAATAAAATTTAGAATTTGCATAAGTAACAAAATAATTTCCTACTTTATCAGATAATTGTCTAATTTCATCTAATATAGATGATACTGGACGACTCCTTTCTCTTCCTCTGGTAAATGGTACAATGCAATAACTACACATATTATCACAACCTCTCATTATAGATCTGCAATTTAATAATAATATAATATATTAATGTATATAATTCATAAAATATCAAAAACAAAAATAATAAAAAGATAGAAAAAATAATATTAAATCAGAATTCTAATTCTCAACCAATAGTTACATAAACCAAAGGTGACAATTTAAAAAGAATCTGTAATACAATCAAACCTCCAATAATAGCCATCTCCAAATGGCAGCCATGTTTTCAGGAATTGCATTCAAAAAGAAACTTTTTGAATGCAATTATGTAAGCATAATGAAGATACTCTGAAAACTTATTGCACCAGTAGTTGCTCCTCCTGTTCTTTTGAAATTCTAACATTTTTTGAATGCAATTGCAGCACTCACACTGCTATTATAAAATAGAGTCAATGTTTGTGTTAAGGAAATTAAAGTAAAACTCATATGAAAAGCAATACTTACTGTTTACATTGTCTCCTACTATCAGTTTGTTATACATTTTTACGAGTGCAAAAATTAAGCAATCCATGGAGAAATGATCAAGTGCAAATTTTGACCTATCCCTCTAGTTTCTCAATGGAAATTAGAAACATTGTGTTCCTCTCATTATAACCTTTAAACCAGGATGACCAGAAAGCACTCCAAACTTAACATTGTTCTTTGATACTCTAATTATTATTAAATAACTATGCATTGTATAGTTTTATAATTAGATTATCAGACAGAAAAATGAGAACAATATAAATTAAATATCAAACTCAGCTTCTTTTAAAGTCTTAGTTCATATCTGCCTTTATAATGTGATGCTTTTTGATATATATTTTTATGAATTTAATTGTAAATAAGTTATTAAGGTCTATTGTCAAAACAAAAAATCAAATTTAATTATTAAACATTAAAAATTCAGAATTTATAATTTAGAGTACAAACTAATTTGTACTCTAAATTATAACTCTAATTTGAGTATAAANCACTTTTCAAAGTTGTTCAATATCACCTGATGATGGCCTATTTCATTAGGCTGAAAACGTTTGTGGGTTAATAAATATTTCTCAGCGTTAAGGTGTTGAATGTTTTATTGAGAACAATATAATTAATTTATATTTTTAGGTTTACAAATTTGGAAGTTATAACTAAATAAAAATCCAAATAACAAATTTTTTGAATTGAAATGAATTGATACTGAATTTTCCAAAAGTTAATATTTGATGATAATTAACTAATTTAAAAGAACATTAAATCTATGATAAGTGATATTGGCTGCTCTTATTTACATGTATAAATCAAATATAGACAAAAATAATCCAGAAAAAGTTCACACAGTTTGGTTCTCAATATAAGAGTAATATAAATTACCACTTGTAAAGAAAAAATTAATGAATAAATATTCAATACTGCATTTGGTAAAAGTTATGTTTAAAATGTAAAAATATATAAAACATTTTATGCATATTTTTATTTTTAAAATTTTCTATTTATTTATAAAAAGAAATAAATTTTTGAAATATGTGATTTATGTATGTTTTACATAATTATGTGCTGTACATTGTGATAAAACTAAATTCATTTAATTCAATTCAATTAGTTTAGTAATAAAATAAGAAAAAATTTTTATAAAATCAAAGTAAGATATGGAAACAGAAATATAAATTTTATTAATGAAAATGAATTAGTAAGTTAATAAAATTTTCCACTTTTGTTTGTTTGTTTAGTTATGGCAACGCAACACATGGGCGATCTGCCTAGGAGGGATGCCTTCCTGGAAGTCCTTTTAAGGGAAACTGGTCCTTATTTAGGCATTATCCCACTTTTAATAAGATTATTATTTAGTCTTAATAGAAATTTCATGAATCTCATCAAATTAAAAATAGTTGATAATGATGATGATGACTTTGACAACTTAGAAAATAATTTAATGCCAAAAAAAAAAAACTTAAACTGTGGCTTACACAAAAGCACTTGGTGAATTGGGATTAATTCGGACAGGCGTAATATCGGCATAAGTCTCTTCTAGCGAAAGAATCACATTGACTGAAAAATTATAACATTATTAAAGTTATAATTAAAAATTAAAGTTATAATTTACAAGTTATAATTTAAAATTAATATATACTGTAATAGTTAGTTAAATTAATAAAAACATTGTGAATAAATAGAATTTTTTCACAAGTTTTCAAATATTTTTTTTTTCTAATTACTGTTTTAATTAAAATATTATTCATATTTCTGATCAATTTATTATATCAGCTTTCTATTAATTTTATTATTTTATTTTGAAATATGAATTAGAAAAAAAAATGTAAACTAATTCATGTGTAAATGAAATTATTAACTAGAAAATGAGAAATTAACTTCAGTACCATATAATATGAAAAAATAATGTATATAAAATAATTTTAACATATTTACATGTTTAAATCATTTAATAAACAGTAATTAAATTTATTAAAATTGTATAATACATTTATATGACTGGAAAAAAATTGTCTGTTATTTTTATATATAATATTAATGTAAACATAACTGATTATTCTTTTAAAGTATTATTATTTCTAAAATGAAAAATATTCTTACCTGCTTCTTGACCATCATCCGCTAGGGAAAGTAATCGAGGAAGATCTCTATAACTGTCCGGACCAGCTACAATATCCACCGCTTTGTCTGCTTCTAAGAGTTTCATTTTCAGTCGTTCAGCCATACAGCCTATAATGACATCATCAAAAATACATTCTAACATTTTCATAGTAATTTTCTTTAAAACTTGGTTATTTTTCAAATATGTGATAAAAAGACTATTTACATATAGTAACAAATGGATTTCATCCTAATACATTATAGATATATAATGATTGGTTTCTGTCAAATATCAAAGGTAATTGTCATATACAGTTTATATTATATTCATTAAGACTTCATATGTTTAGAGTATATAATTAGAACGCTAGAGTCACATACTTAATAACTTTTCTTTGATGTCAATTTGTATTGTCAAATTATTAAACAAACTATAAAAAATTATCCTTACAATTTACTTGAAAACAATCTATAAGATATGTTATTTAAAATACAAGGATGAGAAGGAAATCAATCTAAAACAAATGTAATAAAAATTTAATTTCAAGAAATTTCATCTTTTCATGAATTTATTGAAAAATGATTTTAAATATTTTATTTTATATTACAAAATATTTCAAAATCCTCTATATGCACTGTACGTACATACATATGTAACCAATAGTATTTTAAACAAACTTAATATCTTATCAATAATAATAAATAATCATAACAATAAATCAATAATTCAATGTGTGAAAAAAAATATTTAAAAAAATGTATAAAACACACAGTTATAAACAAGATACATTTTAAAAATTAAAATATAATATCTATCTTGTTTATAATATATCTATATAATTTTTAATATACCTAACAGATTTAAACATTACTACATAACACAAATATGAAATGAGTAATGCTGTATTTGTCATCACTGTCATCACATTTAAAAGTATTCATTTTCATGTACAATATTTTTTCAAACCATGAAAATAAAATGGTTTTAGATTTATTAAAAAATAATTGAACTGTATATGTAATCAATTCTATAACTTTGTCATTTGTCAATAATTTCAAGCATTCAATTCATGTTTAAACTAACAGTAACTCACATTCCCAAGTTTCAGTTTTAGTCATTATACACATGTAATTTTAGTTTTTGTTTTAGTACTAAATATACATTTGGGTAAATGAAACCAAGTTTAATTTTAGTAAATTAAAACTATGCTAGTTTGAACATTAAAAGATCAATGTTTTGGTCTTAGCAACTTCATAATGACATAATATGCACTCATGTAGATATTTAGCTGGGTCAGTGAACAAGATAATAAATAAACTTAACAAATAAGCAGCATAAAAAACTTTCAATTACTAAAGTTTTTTATGCTGCTTGTAAGATTATTTGTTGAGTTTATTATCTTACATAACAGTGTTTAATTGATACAGTGAACAAGAAAAAAAAGTAAAAGTAACATTTATGAATCATCAGAATATCTATTCATTCTCTGTACAGACAGCTCATTGAAATAAATAAAATCTTTTATTAAATCTGTGTGTGTGTGATTTTTTAAAAACATGAAGAAATTAACAAACCTTATCAGGCAACAAACTGCCAAGAAAAACACTGGAGATTGCCGAACAATGTTGCCTGATGATGCCCGTTTAACATGCGCAAAACTGTTTGCACTTAGTTTATAATTTTGTTACTGGTTTGTTAGGTTTTTGCAGTGTTTCTTAATTTCTAGTTTCAACCAGTTGTAAAATAGCAGTTGTTAACATGAAGAATTTATAAAATTATACAAATTTATAAATCCTTTACATTAAAAAAAATATATTCTGTAATTCCTTTGTTCAGCTGAAACATTTAGCAGAAAAACAAACAAAACTGGTTCAGATTAATTAAGTAAAGTTTAGATAATGAGAGTGCACTGTAATTTTTATTTTTTAAAAAATAAGGAAAAAGTAATGCATTATATAACATAATAATTACTGACTATCTTTTTTATTCAACTTACAATCTAAATCATCCACTGTAATAAAAAAGATTAGATAGAAAAACTTATACTAATGTCAAAGAAATGCAATAAATAATTAATTAAACTCAGTTCAATAAATTTGAAGTTTTTCATAATGACGTTTAAATTTACCTAAAACACCAACTTTTAATGGAAATTTTGATTTTCTCTTTCTTTTCAGTGACTTTAAATAGTCTAGCAGATGCCATATCTTCTGTTCTGCTCCCTCTCGAATTGCACATGTTACAACAAGAATTACATCAGCCTGAAATTTAAAAATTTCTCATTAACATGGCGAGTTAATTAGTTTTTTTATAAATAATAAAAATTACTTGAAAAAGCATTCATGAACAAAATTAGATGAAATAATCAAAAAGTTAAAAAATATATATATAAAAATCAGCTTTTATATTTAATCTTTCTAAAAATTTCTTAAAAGCATATTAGAAACTTTGAAGAAAAATAAAAATAGAAAAAAAATAATAATAAAGACAAAATCTTAAAAAAAAAATTCTACTTAATCAATACATTTAACTCATAAAAACTGTAGCCATAAAAAATGCACAGGTAAGTTAATTTGCAATAGTAATTTTTAATTGAAATTGTCAAAAAATTTGTTTGTTTTGAATTGTGCTCATGAGCAGAGAGAGCGTGTTTGAGACATGACACAGGTCAGAAGGTGAGGTATATGATCACCATTCCCAGAAGCTCTTCAATAAATGCTTCCAAAATTGATAATCCCTGTTCTCCCTGTAATGTTGTTTATTCAATTTAAACAATTATAATTTTCTCTGCCAATGTTGGGGGCAATACCTCCATACAAAACTACAGTTTAGTCATTTGTTTTCATCAAGCTTATTGTCTACAAGTTTTCATGATAACTAAACACACTCAAGAAAACCTTTAAATATGCAGCCGTATTTATTAAATTCTAACGTTTTCGGTCATATTCAATGACTTGATATTTTATGTCTATATTTTTATGTTTATTTTTACTGTTATTTTATATCCTGAACGTCATATTTTTAATGTTCTAATAGCTAATGTGGTTATATAATAACAACTGTTATATAAAGATGGCGTTACTCCAGTAGAATATCATTTTTAAAAACGTTCCAAAACGCTTGTATCGTTAATTCAAGTTCGAAGTTCGATTTTTTTCTGTTTTTTCTTGAGAAAGGCCATTGAATATGACCGAAAACGTTAGAATTTAATAAATACGGCTGCATATTTAAAGGTTTTCTTGAGTGTGTTTAGTTAGTAAGAAATTGCAGTCTACGATGAGATGCAAGCTTAGAATTATTAATGCCCATGACTTCTTTGTCTTAGTAGATAGACCGCTATTTTGACTCTTATACTATTATTTTTTTATTGAAAAAGTCCTTTCCAACTTTGTCTATAGGAAGCATCAATATGTAGGGAATGTTTGTTGAAGGTCATGTACTATGAGTAGCCAAAAGTCTACATTTAATGTTGTAATGTGTTCTATTTAATTGAATTTTTGTATAATTTCCAGTTTTAATTTATTTTGATCTTACTTCAATTTCTGAATAATTTTAACTTTCCTTGTAATTTTAAATTTGAAAATGTTTTACACAGAGATGTTCTCTTTCAAATACATTCATTCTAACATGTTTGCTAATTTTCACAGCTGGTGTGGTTCTCAAAAAAGAACAAAAATGTTACTGAAGAAAAATTTAATTTTGTTTCCAGAATTAAGCATTTTTTTTCTCAATTTTATGCTTATAATTTTAGATTCTTATTAAAGTAGAGATAATTATATTAAAAAAAATAATTTTGCACAGAACAAAGAAACCTTTTTGCCATTAAATAAACACATGTACACAATTCATGTACTCATATAACATTAATATAAGTCAAAGTATATGTAGATTCAAATTTACATTATATTTAAACAATTTTATCAATACTTACAAATTCTTTGCTATCAACTTTACAATATCCAGCCTTTTCCAATATTGCCCACACAATTTCTGTATCATTTACATTCATCTGGCAACCATAAGTTTGTATATAAACTGTAAAATTTAAACATTAGTCATATAAATTATGTATTTTCATGATATAAAACTTAAACAAGAAATTAGTAATGCACAAAAATTAATTAATGCTTATTGCTTTATTAATATGATATATATTTTAGAATTCAGAACACATTATATCATAAAATAAAGTAATAAAAACTAAAAATCCATTAAATGCTTTTGAATTTGCACATGTAACTTCAAGAGTCAAATAAAATAATTTCAAATGCCTATCAAATTTAAGTTAAATGCTCAAATCATTTTGGCAAATACCAAATGGATAAGATACTAAAGGCACAGTCTTGTCACTTTGAGGAATCCAAGTTTGGATCCAGGTTGGTTCAATTCTCAAAAGTTGGTTGACAAAATACATCAGACTGTCCATTACTACCTAAATATTGTAATGCCCATCATGGGTATTGAGATAGAGGTATCCAGGTGTGGAAAAGGATCCTGGTAGTATCTACAGAATGGAAGAAGTTTTAAAAGAAATCTGTTAGTTTGGATATATTAGTTTTCTAATGAGATGGGCCACTTGTGTATATTTAATTATATTGTGTTGAGTAAAATGGACATATTTATCCCAATTATAATATAAAAATTACCAATTCTTATTCTTCAGAATCACTCCTGTTCTTAATCTTATAGAAAAGTAAGAGTCCAAGGCCCAAATAGGTAGGCTGACTATAACATTCACAGTTCAGCACATTTCAGAATCAGTGAAAATGGGACCTAAAAGTGATCAAACTTTGGTTACTTTTTGAATTTACTTCTTTATTGGTCTATAAATTGGTGATATTATATTGGAGTGTTAATAAAATTGTTCTATTCAAAGATTGATTCTATAATCAAATATTAAAAACAATCAAAACTGGAGAGTGCAGTCATCCTAAAATAAGGGACAAACATGAATACAATGTAGTAATCTCAAGATTTATAAAACTCAAGCAGAGGTGTCATACAATAGGTATAAAATCTTCAACAGACATTTTAAAAAATCAATAAACTGACTATTTTTCATCAAATTTGATCAGTTCATATATAAATATACAAAAGATTTTCAATTTATATTTTTCTTATCTAATTAATAAATAAAACCTGCTTATTATTTATATTGAATTACCTTTTCTATTTGTTCCATCAACAGTTTGAGAGTCAATGTAAGGATGGAGGCTTTCATTTACTATTGATAATTCTTTATTCTTTAAATCATTTGTTTTAATAAAATCTTGTAAAGAAGGGCCACTGCGAAGTTTTCTATGAAAATCAATATCGTCTACATTCGATTTAATCGAGTGCAAACAAGATGCAAAATGCACACATCTACTGTTATAGAATACCCTCCAACGCAAACATTGCATAAGATAATCTAAATTCTTATAATTTAATCGAATATGATTCATTCTTGATAATAATTATACTTATCCCATTCGCTGTTACTTTAAATCTTCACATACTCAAATACCACGCATACCATTACTGGAGGCTGCCATCTTGAATACAATAACGCCATCTGTCGTCAATATGTATTATACATTACATAAAAATTTTAATTATAATCAATTGAAATACAAAATAATACGTAGTTATGCATTTAATAAGTTTGTATCCACCTTTTAACATGCTACATGCAAAATTTGAACTTCAAGTGATTTAAAATACTTTTGCTTGGTGTGAATTTTAAAAAAGTACATTTATACAGTATACGTATTATCATATAGCATTATCTGTCTGAAAAATCATGAAAGAAAACTAAATTCTATTTATTTTTAATGATTTTGAAAAATATTTAGATTTTTAATTTAAATAATTTTTGTTTTACAAATGTTGTAAAGCAGTGGTTCTCAAAACATGATTCCTGGTTCACTGGGTCTACAGATTGTCTTACATTAGTCATACAATTCTATTTTGTTTAGCTAAACAAAAAATAAATAATAATAATAATTTCACTTCTTGCATCTTTTACATTAAGATACTAGATTGGCAAATATTCTGGCACACAGTTTATCACTATCTATATACTCGTCACTTAAGTTCAAAAATTCAACTTGCTAATACTTATCCATTAATGCAGTAGTAATAAATTAAATTGTTTTAGTACATTCTAAGTTCTAAAATTGTCTAAAATTATTTGTAATAAATAACTTATTTGTAATTTAGGAATATGACATATTTTAATATCTAAAAATCAACATATCTTTATTCATTAGAAATATATATAATTTATCAATTAATAAAAACACTAAATAGTTTTTGTCATTTGTAACATTTCTAACAAGTTTCTTTTGTATGATTTATAGATATATTTATATATGTACACACAGTGAAAATAACATATTTTGCTTATTTGGCAAATTATTGGGATATGCAAAAAAATCTAGCACAGCTTTTCTTAAAAATCATCATCATATTGATCAATTTTTTACATTAGAAAGTATTTCAATTTATTGATTTCAAGCAGTTACATCTTCAGTTTCTTTTACTTCATCACAAAAACCCTTATCAAATTCTTCCTTTGTAATGCATCCTTTTTTAAACTTCTTCATCAATCTGGTATCTTGTGCAAGTTCCTCTAAATCATTATCAGTGAACTGATGAGAACTCTTTCTTTTAAGTGCTCTTTTTGCTTTTTTCTCTTTTTTTAACTTAATTTTTTCTTTTTTCCTTGACCAAGAGCCTTTATTTGGATTGTGTTTTTTTTTGTTAGGCCATGTTCCTGTTGCTCTATACTGTTCTAAACTTCTCTGTCTCTCATCTTCTTTTTCCTTATCTTTGTAAGGAATTGAATTAAAATCAATACTTGTCTGCTGAAAATTTCCAACACGTTTACCTTTCAACTCAGGCATTCGTGGCAATTTTAACAACCCAAATCCTTGTGCTAATTTACCAAAATCTAAATCTCTAATTTGAAACAATAAATTACACTCGTGTTTGGCATAAGCTTGTACATATGAGACAAAGGCTCTCATTCCTTTATCAAAAAAATCTCTATCCTTCATTGCATACTTTCTTACGTCAGGTAATATATCTTCTAAGATTTCAATTAATTTTATTTCTTCAACTACAACATTTTGATTTAACTTTAAAAAGTTAATATAAGCATCTTCTGTTGGTAACAACAAAAGTAGAGCATTTCCCATATTTCCTATTCTTGCAGTTCTTCCACAGCGATGAACAAAAGCACTAGCAGAACTTGGAGGATCATACTGTATCACCCAATTTATATCTGGAATGTCAACTCCACGAGCCATAATATCAGTACAGATTAATACACCATTGTTTCTTTTCCTAAATTCATTAAATATTTTCTGTCTTTTATTTCTCATTTTCCCATGAATACTTTGTACATTTATATTTTTCAGATGATGAGTTAGAATTATTGAAAAATAATCAACACAAGCACATGTACTAAAAAATACAAGATGTTTCTCCTCTGGCCTGTTTTTTAAGAAATTTACTAACCAGTTCAATTTTGAATCTGCTTCACAGATTTTATAATAATTACTCAATGTGGAAGGAGTTCGTTGATCATTTCCCAAAGAAGATTTTTCTTTCACTGCAATCCAAACAGGATTTCTCAAACCAGCTCGAACTAAATCTTTAACTTCTTTAGTCTGTGTAGCAGAAAACAAACCAGTTCGCCTCTGTTTTGGCAAATAACTCAATATGTCATTTATACTTGATTCAAATCCAAGATCAAGTAACCGATCAGCTTCATCTAATATCAAAACTTCTAGGGTTTTTACATTTGCAGCAAAATTAAACATATCAGTCTTCCTTGTAAATATATCCATAATTCGACCAGGTGTAGATATGATAATATTACCTCCATTTTCTTGAAATTTATTTATGTCTACTGTTGGTTTATATCCACCAGTTAATAACATATACGTGAACTGAGGGACGTACTTTAGAAAATGTTCAAGGACTTCTGCAGTTTGTGTAGCAAGTTCTCTCGTTGGTGATATTACTATAGCACCGACATCTTTCTTCTTTAGGGAAGTTTTACGTAGTAAAATTTCTAAGAGAGGTATAACGAATGCTAATGTCTTCCCACTGCCTGTCACTGCTTCAACAACAACATCTTTATTTGCGAGAAAAAGCGGGATGCATGCTGCTTGTACTGGAGTCATCGATTTAAATCCAAGATCCTTAATGGCATTTTGAATTTCTGTATTTACTTTAATACATTTCCAGCTTCTTTCTATGTTATTATCGCCGACCATGATTAGATACCTTTTCATAAAATTATTTAACATACATAATCAAAGTAACCACATGCTAAAAAATATTACAGTAAAACCCACGTGGTAAGAATGTCAAATTTCTTCGATGTAAACATATTTTACTAGCCAAAAACTAGCACCATATTTTTTAAAATAAAAGTCAATTAAATTAAACATTTTTTAAATTGTTAACTATAATTAACGTTTTAAAATTATTTAAATTTATATATGTATATTTTTATTAATTTTCTAAAAAAATTCGATAACGACAATAACAGCCGATTGCAGAGACCGACGGCGGTTTACAGATCGGGTAGACCGCTGTTCAGAAAAATTTCATTGCCGAGACGACGTTTCTCGCCTGCCACAATGTACACAGCGATTAGAAACAAGTTATTTGACCTATTTTCTAGACTCACTCGACAGCAGATTTAGAGGGCTTTTCAATTCGAGTGGTAGCTTTGTTTGTGGAAAAGTTTAGCTAAAAACAGATATCGTTCCTTTGATAAATGTTGTAAACGGTACGAATCGACAAAATTATTCATTAATTAATTGCTTTAAATTTTTTTTTTAAATGTTCCAATTTCGATATTCAAATAGGTGAAGACTTAAAACTTCAATTAATTTAAATCAGATGCATTTATTTACAATTCGAGTATCGTGTCAGTTATAAAACGTTAATGCATTTCGGAGTCATTGTACTGTTAAACAAACGTGACAATTTTAATAATTACAGAAATCTGTTTATAGATATAAAAAAAGTGTAATATTAATAATAAAATATTTAAAATTATTCATTTCGACAGTAATAAGATGTCGAAATAATTCCTTAAAAATCTATTAAGGCGAATTTCGAATTCGGTATAAATTTTCTAAATATGGATTTGTTCATCTTTTAAACCGTATTGGCGACGAAATTAAATATCGAAATGGAAAAGGATTGCCATTAATTGCCGAACAATGGTTTTGACGGCCTTAAGATTTTATTTCTGGAAGCTTTCGGAATATAGCTGACGACCATTTCTGACGTCACAAACAAATAACCCGATTGGCCGAACGACTCCTAAAACAGGGAAGTAGTAGCGAAATAAGAGCCAATGTTTTGCCGAAGTTCGTTTAGAGAACGGTCGGAAATAGACGATCGTCGTCTTTGCAACGTCTATAGGCCGTTCTGTTGATAAACGTCGTTTAACGTAAACTCTGTCTCTGCAATCGGCTGTAAAACTTTGTATGTATTCATGTTTTCATCATTCAATGTACTTTCATCCATTAAAATAATCGATGCTACATATATTACTTTCATAGTAAGAATATTGTCGAGAATTGCATTATCTCTGATATTATATATAAAAATTAAATAAATATATACAGTGGGTGATCGGTTAACGAACATAATCCGTTCTAAGACTTTGTTCATTAACCAATTATCAATTTACCATACGTTTGTATAGGAATTTGATTAATTCATTCTGGTGACCCCAAAAATAAAAAAATATACACTTTCTTACTACGTTTATTTATATGTAATAATAAATATACATATGTACAGTACACAGTCTTGCATTTTTATTAGTCATGTTTTCTCCGTTTGTGGTGGTTAAAGAATCTGTCTAATGTCGGTTGCTTTTCTCTCTTCTTTATGATTTTGCAAAAGTAATTAATAGCATTGTAATTGTAGAGATCCCAAGCCTATTAACCTCAACCTGGTTTGGATGCCATTCTAAGACCGTTGTTCTGACATCCTCCCACTTCTGCAAAAGATGTTTAATAGCAGATATCGGCATTAATCCTCTTTTTCAGAAGAAAACATATTTCGCAGAGATTCTTGGTGTTGTTCATTCAAGAGTTCTTGGCATTCTTCTGTCGTCAGATCCGTTTCAGGTTCTATTATGAGCTCTTCAATGTTCTTTATTTCTCAGATGTGATTTTTGTTACTTTTTAGCTGCTCGAGTTTTCTCGATTATACTGTATCTTTCTTAGATAAGATTGAACTGCGGCCTATTGTAGACCTGTTAAAGCTATACTGCCCAGTAACATCAAACATCTTCTGCTTATTCTCTACCTTTGCTATTTTGCTCTCACCTTTCGAAAATAAAACCCGAAGCAAAACTTAACGAGTGCTTGCCCGACAGTCTCGCGAATATTATAAAAGATTTGTTTCTGTCAGAAAAATAAAAGGCTGGAATTAAAAGGAAGAGTTTCAAAGTTCGGAGGAATACTATCCGATCGGTATATACCGGCTTGAGCGTCGATGTCGACGTCTCCCGCGCTCCGAAAAGTTGCGAATTGTTGCCTGAAGACAAGGGAAGACCAATCGGTATTCATTATTTTACGTCGCTTCTTCTTGTGTTTGTTTTGTGAGATGTTCGTTATCCGAACATAAAATTCTTTCGCGAAGATGTTATCCGATTCGTTCGTTAACCGATCACCTACTGTATAATAAATAAAGATTATCACATGAATTCACATCCATATACATTTTTTATTTCATTATTTATTTTTATTTTTGACTCTCTTCCCTAAGGGCAATAAACAGCCATTTTAATTATACCATTCATGAGTTCGGCCAAACATGCAATGGAGAAAGACGAGTGGTAAAAAATGGATCCTGACATTCCAGGACAGACCGCTCCTGGAAAATCTCCTGATACCTCGATCCGAACTCGAACCCGGATTCTCAAAACGGCAGACTGAATACGTCTACTGTTTACTAAAATATAAGTAAAGTTCCGCTTAAAAAAGTCTGTTTAGATTGTCAGAATATATTGGTTTTCCCGCAATACTTATGGTTCGAATAATACACAACGTAGATTAGACCAACAGCCCAACAGGCTGCACTCAGTGTCCCTGAGAGAATGGAGAGCTATCGGTGCAAAGACCATTTTGGAAACCCAGCTTATATATATAACAAATAACATGATGATATTGAAGTATAAAAATAATCTGGCCAACGGGCTGGCCACGTAAACTCTTTCGAGTTTTCTTCACGTTTTTAACACCTAAATAAAAACCAGTTTTCCGTAAAAGACATTCCGGGAGGCATATACTGTAAGGTCTCTTTTTATGCGGATTATTTTTATGCGATTTTGAAGTTGTGCGGTTTGTATTTCATCCAAAAATTTCTCGGACAAACATACCAGTGGCGTGCCGTCATTAGAAGCGTTGGAAGCGCCGCTTCCCTCGTATTCTCTAAAAAATAAATACATATTAATTTTAATTATATGAAAATAATCGCACAATATTTTATTATAACCGCATTATGTATCTTATTACAAATTTCTATACTACACGTGAAAAAAAAATAAGATTGCTATTGTATATTCGAATATTAGTGGCGGAGTGGAATCTCTGTATTGTCAGATTCCAAAAAGCCAGATTTGCGCATGCGCTTTACAGAGCACCAACCTCACCCGGTTTAGCCGGTGGAAGCCTACGACCTTGGGTGAAAGCTGCACACATATAAAGATTCCAATTCTATCAAGGACCGGTTCTGGGCTGTTAGCCGCCTGCCCACTAGATATTCCGATTACGTGAATAACGAGTAGATTTATAACTTAACCCAACCGATAAGAATTTACTGGTATGTTTTTACGATAGTTCTGTATAGTTGACAGGAGTTTAAAAAATCCATTAAAATATTTGATATATTTATTCCGCTCTCCGATTTTATATTACTCACGGATTTCAATGTTAAACCAGTGATATTACGATTTCGTATATCCCATCTTTAAGGGGATGTAGAAAAAAACGTGTACAATTCTTGTACAATGTTAAAAAATTAACTGTTACTTTGGCAGCATCATTTACAACTAAATTTAATGAATGAGAGAGATGCACGAGGTACAGAAAAAGCTCTAGAATTTATTTTCCTTAAATTTACGATTTATGTATCCGTTTGTCATAAAAATTTGTCTTTCCACTTTTTTCCCGAGACTACAAATATTCGAGTACAAAGTAACCGGTTTCGACTTATTTCTACTTAAGAAGTAGTTAAATAATTAAGCGATTAGGGAATTGGGGACATAAACAAAACCCTGACGAAAGAGCCGGAATATTACTTAAACAAAAGCTTAACCGAACCAATCTATAGCCGAGTACAGTGGGGACTGATTTCTTCGAAATACTGTATTAGATGTAATAAAGACAGAAATTTTTCCAGTTCGACGAGAGTGACCGAAAAGTTGTAAATTTTGGAAATTTCCGTGGACAACACCTGGTCCTAAAACGAATTAGTTAGAAAACAAACGACGGACAATCTATTAAGTTTAACATATTTAGACTTTTACAGCTATGGTGAGAAACGTTTAAAATTTACAAGAACCCTGTCGCGTCTTTTGAGGTATATTAGTGATGCGACAAAAGAAACATTTGACATTGCCAAATCCCGAGGGTATCGGCACCCTCGGGATTTGGCAGCCCGCGTGCATGTACAGTACACACCGCACACCTAGCAGGACCGTCTCTGATTCCACTCGTAGGGAGCTATTTGACTAAGTGGTTAAGATTTAAAGAGTAAAGAATATTTTATGTTATTTTCATGTACGTTTCATTACAAAGTTATATTTAATTATAATTTTCTTTAAAAGTATATTCATACAATTGAAGAATGTTTTGTACCAGGTATGTATATCCACCACACATTTTATTTCACCAAGTAAGTTTTTATAATTTTATTTTTAATTTTAGCCCTTATATCGTGGCTAGCGATTCGGAATGTAATTGCGATATTGAAAATTTATTTTAAAAAAGTTTTGGCTCGAGATCATATAATGAAAAAGAAAACATTAAAAGAGAACGGCCAATGCCTAAGTTAAATATAAACGCTTCAATAAAAAAATTTGTTCGACATTTTCACGATAAAATGGCTCTGTAAATGCATAAAAATGCAAAAATTGTTTTGTTGGCTTGCCTACTATTTTCAAATGAAATTAGTGTGTGGAATAAGAATGGCTTTGACAATTTAGCTGGCGAAAGACACGAAAAATCGTCGATTCTTTCGTATTTGAAGCAATTTGGAAATCGAAGCGGAATAGAATTTAACATTAGTAAATAATATAAAATAAATATTGAAAATTGTAACGAGATAATTATGGGTAATAGATATATTATATCTAAATAAATACATGTTATATGTTTTTATCAAAGCAAGAATTGGCATTTAGAGGGCATATGGAATATATTGGATCTAATAACAGGTAATTATAATGAACTTATTTATTTACTAAGTACGTCAGATAAATAATCTATTAAAAATACATTTAAAGAAAGAATTAACTGATTGCCCCTGGATGTCGGCTTCTTATAGAAACACAGCTTCCCTATCATCAAATGTCACGGCACGCCCCTGCATTTTTTAACTCACCAAATTAAAGAATTTAAAAAATTTATCTTGAGATAGATTTGTCTAATAACTTCTATTCGTTTACGTTCTTGGACGAAAAAGAATTTCGAACGGTTTCGAATAATGAGTAAGTGTGGTTATGCCGTCTAAGTCAAAAGTTTCTTTGTCGGAGGGAGGATGAAAAGTATATTTCTGGATAAATGCAGCCATATAAAGAAACGCTTCTAAGATTGCAATGTTTTCTCCCGGACAAGATCTTCGACCTAAAAGACAAAATTATTCTTTAGCAAGATTGTTGTTTTACAATAAAAAGAAAGAATATCTAAAACTAATAAATGCGGAAAAATTTTAAGTAAATTTACATAACTTNGGAGACAAAAAACATTCCAAAAATTCAAAAATGGCCTTAATTAAGGACCGTGTTTTATGTAACGCTATGTAACCTGCCCGAGTTAACTCGGGGAGGAACTAAAGGTGTTTAGTGGGAGTTTTTATCAAATTTATTTCATGGTTCTAAAGTTGTAGTGCACGGATTTTCCTTCCGTAAAGTTATTTAAAGCTGCTTTCTGATGTCAAAAACGACCTCCAATAGTTTTTTAATTTTTTAAATTAATATATTTTATTTTATATAAATTTAATTAATTAGGGTGGTCGGAAATCGCAATTAAAATCTTAATTTTTTAAAAATATTTAAAATTATAGGCGTCCCTCATATTCACCCTACTTTAAACCCTTGTCCTCCCGAGACGTCTATGAGAATGCCCCAGGAAATCCGACTCCAGCTGTTCTCAAGGTCATCCAGCTGTGTAAACAATGACTCATCAGTGTTAAATTTCACAGAAAGGGGAGACAAAGGAACTTAAACTTCGAAGCTTTTTCTTCAAAATAAATGCATTTATTTCGTTTTTTTCAGTTTTATGTATTTTTTATGCTTAATTACATTATAATTTATGACAGGTGGTCGTTAAGGGGTTAAAATCGCGATAAAATTTTTTTGCGCGGGTAAAAATTTTTGCAAAAATTTGTGGATCTAAAAAACATTCCAAAAATTGAAAAAAAATTTTGTCAAAAGTGGCCTTAACTACCGAATTTTTCGTAACCCTATGTAAACTTGACGAGTTACCTCGTCAATGGGAATTAATTAAAAGAAAAAAATGAGACTTTTAAACACAACCTTTATTATTCTATTAAACATCAATTATAATTCATCTTTTAATTTTGAAAATTGATTCTATATTTGCAAATACTCATAATTTACGCCGAAAACTTTGTTGTAGAATCAATTATTATTTGTGTTTTGATTGCACAAGTCCATTACTTTTCAGCTATTGATTTGTACCCACAGACTCCTTCAGGATCTCAATTACGTGACGACGTCTAATGTCATTACAATGTACAGTATTAGATATTGAAGATTTCTTCGTCAAATGTTAAACATGATGTTTGGTTCACTACATTTCGTTAAATGCCAAATAATTAAGTATAGTTTGAATATTACCATAACTGGCTGTAAACGCCTATGGCAGAATAATCGATGATGCTAATTCTAAGGTCGGGACATTCGTTTCTTCTTATTGACGTAGCGTGACAAGATGGTCAATTTTTATGAATGTATTGAAAAATTTTATAAATTTTCTACAGTTATATAAACGGGATTTGGTGAGGTTTTTCAGTACTATTTGCAGAATTTTGTGAAACTTTACGGAGGCGTTACATGATTCGATAAAACCATTTTGGTGGCGCTACAAGATTAGATGAGGGTGTTATGAAGACGTTACAGGAATGGATGAAATTGTTACGGGTGCGTACAGGATTTGGTGAAAATTTCATGGTTTACTAACACGGTTTAGTTTACCTTTTACTATTGTGTTGATAGGATTTGATGCATTTGAAGAAATTTTCTTTAATCGATATGAGAAACTGTATTTTAAACTGTTGTTCAATGGCATCCATTCGTTACAGAATCGAGATATAGAATAATATTCAGGAATTTCAAATGTTCACACTGAAATTGTGTCCGTAGTCTTTTGTAATAATGCGATAAAAAGTTCAAGCTATTAAGTATCATAAATTGGATTGAAATCCGGTAAGAATCTGTTTGGGAACAAACAAGTTGTTCTAGGAACTTAACCACGATACCAGAGGAATACATATCAGTTGATCCCCCTATAACACTGTTGATAATTCCGTTTTATATGAATTCCATGTTGTACGAATCACTTAGATTTTACAAATACGTGAGCCGTTCACAGTCCTGCACACGTATTTGTAAAATCTAAGTGACTCGTACAACATGGAATTCATATAAAACGGAATAATCAACAGTGTTATAGGGGGTCGACTGTATTCCATCAACGGGTCGCGGTTGAATCTGTTTCTCCTTCTCTCTTTTTCATTTTGTTATCTACCACGACCAAACGTGTGGTGCTTATAGTATATTTATCGATTGTATCATTTGAAGAAGGAACAAGAATCTCTTGCTTTTGCGCAGAGATGAGCATTCTACTTATTGTTTGCTCGACAGACTCATTTTCATTTCGTCTGGAAAATCGGTAGATAGAAAACTTCATTAGGAATCTTGTTAACCGTCGCAACTTTTCTACAGACGACTCGTCAGGTTCTCTGGCTGGTGGAGGATGAAAACGTTGTGATTTGCTTAATGTTCAGAGAACCAGTCGTTTTCCATATCGAAAACTGCATGCTATCCATGCACGGTTCTTCACACCATTCGCCTAAGAATGAAATTCACGGTCGAACATTTGGAAAGCATTCCTCTTGCAACGTGTTGTGCAAGTCCCACCAATGCGACAATTCGTGCAACTTTATCACTTCGGCAGGATATAATTTAGCAGAATCTTTGTGAAATATTTGACTGCTAGAGAAAACAGCGATGGTAAGCTTACACTCAAGTTTCCACCCAGCGGAGGACTCATAATGCCACTACTGCCTGATGAGACCTGTGGGAGTTTTTATCGCATTATTACAAAAGACTACGGTCACAATTTCAGTATGAACATCTGAAATTCCTGAATATTATTCTATTTCTCGATTCTGTAACGAATGGATACCGCATGCGTACACTCTTCCTTTTCCTTAGCATAGACCAAATCATCTTTAATGCTGTCGTCTTCCATTGGATGTACTGTACAGTACTTTTCTTTTACGGCGAAATAGCCCGAATCTCTTGAAACACTTCTTCCTGTAAGAAGGAATTGAAATTATTTTTTTAATTCAATAAACAAATTGTAAATTGTATGATAATTTGGAAAAGTTAATATTCGATTACTAGATGTTTATCCTCTACAAAATCAATATTTGATTAAGATAATATATATACATATGTATTCTTTTATATTGTTATTCCTTCAGTCTATCTGTGAACACAAAACTCTTCCCAACTGTGCGCTATCATTAGATGTTTTCTGACAGTTATTCTAGCAGACAGAAGGCAGCTAGTGAGAAATTCGTAGCGTGCGTAAATAGTAGAGTTTTTCCAGCGGAATTCCGGGAAATCAGGAATCCTGACTGTTTTTTAACACCGGAAATCCCGCATATTTTTTAATAATTCACTTTTTTCTTCTTTTGTGTTAAAGTTAAGGAAATTTTGCAAATAAAAAGTATAATTAACTCATAAACCGTCAGAATGCATTTGTATTTATTAATTTTGAGCCTGCTTATTATTTTTTTAAATTTTTGCTTATTATAGCATGTCACAGATTATCAATAATCAATAAGTAGCCTATTTGTGACAGTACTCTGAAAATTCTTTACTTGTCAGAACTTGTAATATCTTGTAATAATTCTGCCGATGCTGTCGTAATTTTTAATCATGCCCGGTAGCTTCAATAACTGCATTATATCAGGTTGTGCAAATTGGGCAAGGATACGAACGAGTATGCAAATATGAAGTTTTTGACAAGACTATGTCTTGTTTATAAAATCGCACTAACTGATGTTACCAGCTTGGAGTCATGAAAGAGAGACATGTCAGGAGTTGCAATTTGGCACAGAGTATTAAGTACCCCCAAATCATGGGCACATAAAAAACCAGACTTGTAGGTAGTCAGGGGACCGAGAACCCAGTCAAAATACAAAATGGCGACACTCTCTACAAACAGGCAGTAGTGCGAGATTTGCGCATGCGTTGCTCGTTGGGAAGTTGGAAATACGAATATTGTGAAATCGAATTTTGACAAACGAATCTTTGAAAAAAACCCATTTACCTGTTCCGTGTTATTCCCCATATATTTCTGGTCCGTACGTGCTGACCTTGACCAATTGACTGAAGATGTATCGTTCCATCATCGGAACGTTTTTGATACTAGATGGCGCGTCGTTATAATTTTATAATATATTAAAACTAACTTCCGAAATATAATTTGTTTTCTTTTTATATTTATTAATTAATATACCGCATATTATTTGAACAAAATAATAAAATAATTTCGGACGATACATTAGCGACGATTATTTTTTTCAAAAACGGAACATTTTCGTTAGGCATCGGCAAAAATTCAACCCGGAACGACACGCAACGGAGAGAAATTTCAAATTGGATAGGTTAATTTCACTGAAAATACAACGTTGACGACCTCGTGGCCTTGGCCGGCGAAGTTTCAAAGATCCGAACAAAGCCAGCGATACCAAAGAAGATTGAAGAATAAGAACGAGATCCGTGGTGAGCAGGGTTACCAATCCTTGGTTTTAAAATCCAGATCTGGGTTTTTCGATATTCTCTTGGTTTCTAGGTTGTTTCCCCCTAATTTTCATAAAATATGGGTTTTTTAAAATATAACTTTACAGTAGAGTCTGGATTATCCGACCTAAACGGGCGGGCAAAACGTCGGATAAGCAAAAATGTCAGATAATAGGAAATAATTAAGAAAAAGTTCATTAAACATCAAACTACGTTATACTTTTAAAAGTTAAGCACCTAAACATTATATTTTACAACAAATCAACAGAAAAAAATCAATACGCGGTAATGTTATACAGTCATTTCTAGTATAAACATTGGTTCTTTATACCATTCGGTGGTTCCATTTTTATATAGTACAGTAAATTATACAGAATTTGATGACAGATGATTCTGTGTTTGCCAGTAACTCTTTGGCATCTACTTCACTATCATGGACTGATTGCAATCTCATATGAACTGATTCCTCATTGTCAGGAAGAAAAATGTCGTCATTGGAGAAATTGTTATTTTTCTCCAAAGGTTCTGAAGATAAATTCTCATAAGAAACAGGGTAATGATGTAAATCATTTTATATTTATTGAAATAAAATGACTTAAATAATAAAAAAAATTAGATTTTATAAACAAAAACGAAAAGCATGGTACTTTATTCGCTGAATCATGTGGAGTTAAAAACGCTCCGATACACTTAAGCACCTGCTCAAGCTATAAAATCATACCCCGAATGATTTGCTATCGCGGCACAAACAACACCATCTTAACTCTAGCTACATAAAAATCCGGATGGCTTACGTGTATTTTGAAATTAATACAGCAATTTCAAAAACACTGGAGTTAGTTTAACTATTGAATCATCAAAGAACAGGTTGCTTGCTAAACAAGCAATCAGTAGGAGAAATCTTAGCTGTTCGCTGTATGAACCCGAACCTGAACTAGAGATGCAGTACAAAGAGTTTGCCACCAAAGGTATAAGAAGCGACAAGAAGAGCATAAAGATTGTGCAGTAATGTTAATGGAAAAAGAAGAACAGAGTAGCTGTAAAATAACATTAACTACTGTGTAAATTAGGTAATAAATGGTTTTTTAAATTTTTATTATAATGTCTGTAATTATAACATCACTAATGTACTATGATAAAGTATTTATAATTATATTTTAATAATTAATTTTTCTGGGTAAATAATCTGAGTTTTTAAAATCCCCATCTGGGTTTTTTCCATCCAGACCCAAGTTTTATCATATGTCGCGGTGGCAATTCTGGTCATCAGCGTCGAAGTGATCCGGTTTAGCAATGAGTCTCCGAGACATAGTCTTGTCACAAATATGGCTTTGCCGTTTTACTTGTTCTTCATAAACCTGATTATTAAAAACAAACGAACTGCCGAATTATCGGGCTGTAAGCATGATGCTGCTAATAAAGTAGCCGAGGTAGAAAATTCAAGAATACTAGACGGCAAAAGAAGTACTAAGGGTAAATGAACCCTATTCAGGCGTTACAGACGAGAAAACACGGAAAACTTCACGTGGCCAGCCCGTCCTGGCGAGGCGCGAACCCACGACTGAACTCCCAGTGTTCGGGGAACGGAACTGCTTAGCCACTGGTGGACCCCAACACGAAAGGAAATTTTCAAATAAATTCTATAGTTTATATATATATGCAAATTCTAATATGCTCGTCAGTCGTCTTTGGTGCCCTTATCCGCATAAGAAAATCTTTGATGTGACACTGGCGTATTGATTTGCCATCAGAATTTGCTTAATTAAATATGTAGTTAAAGTTTGGAAGTGGACAATACCCTAAATATGTCTAATATTTAGGGTATTGTGCCACTTCCATATCTAATATATAATCTTCCATTTCTAATATATGTCTAAATATTCTAGAAGAAAAGTTGTCTGTAACATATACAGAAACTTAAATAAGTTTAATTATAAAACATCAAATTTATAATTTAATAAAAATGACAAGTTTTAATGATTTCTTCATAAAAAATAGTAGATAATATTCTGTTTAAAGTCAACCTCGATATAGTTCTGGTCAAAATAGCGTCATTCTCGTAAAGCACTAATAAATACTTATGAACGAATCTCCTCTATAAAAATCCAGCAACGAGTTGCTTAACTTTCCCAGCAATAACATTTAAAACTGCATGAATAGCTTAACTGTCTTTTAACTAACTTACTAGGAAACGTGCCCAACGAGAAAGGCTTAAGTTTAAAATATAAGCTTTCTAGAATCCTGGTGCCCTAGATGCCAGTGTAGCTGCAAATGAAAAAATCAAATTCAGTAAAGTGGACAGCACCCCTACAAATAATAAGATTGAATTATTCGGTTTATTAATAATCAATAATAGACTTAGAAGCCATGTAAAAATAAACCATCGACAAGTTGCTCAACTTTCCCGGCAACATTTAAAATTCTGGTTGCGCTATCTGTTACGATATTTCATTTTTAAAAACTGTTTGCGTTTATAATTATAAAATGGCAAAAAGCTTAATTGAGGACAGGGGCGGGTTTTATAAAAAATCGTCATTAAGTCCGACCCGACTGCAGATACACACGATTCCTATTATCTCCCCACTCCGACTTTTAACCACCAAAATTTAATAGCATCGATCCCCTAATACACAACCTCCCTGCAAAATTTCAAAAATTTTCAACAAAAAGCACGGGCGTTATTAAGCTTCAAACAGGGTAAACAAAATCGTGCCCCTACACATGCAAACATCCATACATACAGAAATTACCCTCCGAATTATTTTGCATTTGTACTTCAAGGTGTTCTAAGTCCAAAAATGCACAAATCTTGAAGGGTCATTTTTTGACCGATCGCCATACTTTTCCTCTGAGAAATTAGAAATCAACGGCAATCTTTCAGTATCCTTGAATTACTAAATATATAATTTGTAATGCAAAATTGTGCAACTTCCAACTTTTAAAAAGTCGGATTTGTATGCAACCTTATTAATAAATATAATTATAATACCTATTTGAAATATTATGGTGCATATTTCACAGGAAAACAAATAGTTCACCCTACTGGAGTTATTCATTGTAAGGAATCTTGTGAAAGCTTAGTGTGTTCATTCACAAATAAAATATTAATTTGAAGAGAAACTTATCAAATTTCTATTATAAGGTGTGCATAGATTTGTATATATTTTCCTATAATTTTTTTTTTAAAATCATCATNTCTGTAGAAAACTTAAAAATTAGAATAGAAATCAAATTCATTATTTTTTATATAAAATACCTTATTATATAATATTGTGCAAGTCTGCACACAGATGCACACATTTGAGAGATGGGCATCAAGAAAAATTAATGAAAACTACCAGTTCTTAGTTGAAAAAAGTTTTAAAGTGTTGCTTTCATGTGTAATATCATTTATAAAGAATTTTTGAATAATCTCATTTTTAAGTCAGATGTACTGTAATTTTAAGTCTCAAGTTGCTATATTACAGATGTTTTTTATACTTTTTACAAAACTATTAGTTTTA